TTTTACGGTTCAAGTAATAAATTTTTATCTTGTTTCTTTATTATTTAGATGTGAGTATTAATTTGGAATGAATATATTAAATTATAACATTTTATCAGACAATTTGAAGAGAAAATTTGAGATCAAATTGACATGGATATAACTGTGGAACATTAGTAAGTCCGGGACACTGTGTTGCCTAGATAATAGTCTTTTGGTCACCTAAACGTTTCTTACAACTTTTATGTATATTATCTGTCCATGTGCGCGTGTACCATTCTAGCAGTCTTCATCTTGTTGTGTTAACAGAATCAAGAAAAAGCTTTCTAACCTTTGCTATTCCTGGTGCCTTCTCTTCAGCCTCACCTCTGTTTAGTGCTTTGCGTTTGTCAGTGTCAAAAGAAAGTGACCATCTGTCCAACCACCGCTTGAGCGCGTCTAGATCTCCTTGTACTCTCATTCAAACGTCTTCGTTTTTTAATCTTAGCAATTCAAGAAACTTATCAACTTTTTCATGATAACTACCTACAAAATTCTCAGGGAAATTGACCGGGTAAAACAAAATTAACTGTTTAACACGAGTGGTACACGAGCAAGAGGGACACAAGTGGAAACGGAGTACTCAAATGAGCCATATGAACATTAGGGACGTCCCTGGTAAAGGTTAGGGATGACGACAGATCAAGGAGCCAAGACAGACGAAACTTTTTTTTTTTTGAGATATATACAAGAGTTTTTACATTCTTGTACAAGCACTAGTTCGCGTAGCGTTTCAGGCAGGTCCCTGGAATACGATCCACGCCGTGAAGAATCGTTGTTACAACTAAGTACACATTTTACTGTTGAGTTAAACAGAGGCTACAGTTAAGGATTTGCGCCCAGTAAATCCTCCCCGGCCAGGATACGAACCCATGACAAAGCGCTCGCGGAACGCCAGGCGAGTGTCTTACCACTACACCATGGAGACTGGTAAACATCAAAAACATCGTCCAGAAGTAGCGAATGAGGAGCGCTACAGTAGAAAGTCGTCGTCCAGGAATGTCGTAAAGGAAAGGGGTGTTAGGAAGACCTTGACAAGCCAACCTACAGATATCATAAGGACTTCCAATCCATTCACCGTGCTGGAGGACGAATGTTGTGTGGAGACGGTAGTTCCCTCGTAAGTCAAGACATCGAAAGGAGCGCAGGTCCCTCAAGGGGCTCACAAAGTAAAGGAAGTACCTAAACAAATTTTAGTTGTTGGATATTCACAGGTTAGATATCTGGACTGAACTTTTTGTGCTAGAGATAAGGGGGAAAGGTTAAGGGTTTGCTATCTGGGAGCAGGAATTGGTGATATTGTTAACAACAAGGACGATATTATGGCTGGAAATGGGATCAAACCCATTATTTGTATCAGTGCCGGTGGAAATGATGTTAGACGAATTAGGAGTGAGGAACTGATACAGAGGTTTAAGACAGCCATAGAATTAGTTAAGAGCAAGGGAGGACTCCCGATCATATGGGGCATTCTTCCAAGAAAGGAAGTTGGAAATGAATGCTTGTCGAGGGCACTTCGTATCAATTCCCGACTCGACAATTTTTGCAAATCAAATGCAATATCATTTATAGATAACTGGGAACACTTCTATCGAAGAAATTACATGTATGCTCGAGATGGGGTGCATCTGACCAGGGCTGGTGTTGTTGTTGTTGTTGTTGCGAACTCCTTGGAACCTGTTGTGGGAAGGATTTGATTGTGTTTAAACTGTTAGTAGATAGTGGTATGGGAATTGATATGGAGAAAGGAGGTAATAAAAGTAGGTGTTTGTGGGAGAAACAACTTGGCAAAATAATCAGGGAAGGAGTCGAGCGTCAAAATAACAATACACTTAGGGTATATTATATGAACAGTAGGAATCTTAAAATCAAAATAAACGATTTAAATGCTCTTGTATGCACGGAAAAAATAGATATCATTGTACTTACCGAAACGTGGATGAATGTAGAAAATGGAGAACTATTAGCTGAATATGAGATAAATGTATTTAAACTATTTCACACAGATAGATATATTAGATGAGGAGGGGGAGTAGCAATATATGTTAGGGAAAATTTTAAATGTAGTCTCAAAGAGGAAATCAAAACTGAGCCACACACAGAAACTATTTGGCTAGAATTAGACGAAAAAGCAAATAATCTTATAATAGGAGTTATATACACGCCACCAAATTTACACAGAGTGGAAGCAAAGCATCTATGGGATGAAACATCTAAAGCATATAGGTCTAACAGTATTTGTGTAATAGGTGACTTTAATTTTAGCGGAAAAAACGGGTTTAACAGAACAGGGAATAATGATGCAGATGATTTTCTAGAATTAATTGATGATTGCTTTCTCACGCAACACATGAATGAACCAACGCAAGAAAATAATATTTTAGTCTTACAAAAGAAGACGTTTGAGGGAGAGTACAAGTAGATCTAGATGTGCTTAAGCAGTGGTCGGACAGATGGTCACTTTTTTTTCCTTTAACACTGACAAATGCAAAGCACTAAACATAGGTGAGACGAAGAGAAGGCACCAGGATTAGTATAGGTTAGAAAGCTATTTCTAGATTCTGTTAACACAGCAAGATAAAGACTGCTAGAATGGTACACGTGCACATGGACAGATAATTTACATCAAAGTTGTGAGAAACATTTAGGTGACCAAAAGACTATTATCTAGGCAACGCCAAAAGACTATTATCCCAGACTTACTAATGTTCCACAGTCATATCCATATCGATTTGATCTCCAATTTTCTCTTCAGATTGCTTGATAAAAAGTGATAATTAACTAGACTGTTTTCCAAATTAATGCTCACATCTTAAAAATAAAGGAAACAAGAAAAAACATATATTACGTGAACAGTAAAAGAAGACATTCATGAGCTTGGGTGGAACTCCGGACTGTGAGGCCGCGGAGGAAGCTTCCACAGCTGGGCTACGACGGCTTCTGATTACTCTTTCATAAACACAGATCTTATCTTGCATAAACACCAAGAATCTAATAAGCAAAATGAAATCTAGTGTGTTGATTGTTTTGTGTGGGTTAGTGTGCTACCAAATATTTAGATAAGTAAACTATAAATGAATAATATTTGTTGAATTGTTACTGTTCATGAACTTTGTAATGTGTTTTAATAAGTGAAAGTGTCATAAATAAAGTCTATATATGTATGGTCCAGGCATAATTAGCACAAACCACATACCAACACAAACAGTCACTCAGACATTCACATGAGCATGCAAGTGCTGATTTGATATACTCACCTAGATGTGTTTGCGGGGGTTGAGATTTGGCTCTTTGGTCCCGTCTCTCAACTGTCAACTGGTGTACAGATTCTTGAGCCTACTGGGCCTTATCAAATCTACATTTGAAACTGTGTATGGAGTCTGCCTCCACCCACATCAGTGCTTAATGCATTCCATTTGTTAACTACTCTGACACTGAAAAAAACTCTTTTAAATTTCTCTGTGGTTCATCTGGGTACTAAGTTCTCACCTGTGTCCCCATGTTCGTGTTCCACCCGTGCTAAAGAGTTTGTCTTTGTCCACCCCTGTCAGTTCCCCTGAGAATTTTGTAGGTTGTTATAATGTCTCCCCTTACACCTCTATTCTCCAGGGACGTGAGTTTAACTCCCTTAGTCTTTCCTCGCAGCTCATATCTCTCAGTTCTGGAACTAGTCTGGGGGCATACTCTGAATCTTCTCTAACTTTGTCTTGTGTATGGACTCTAGGTATGGACTCCAGGCTGGAGCTGCATATTCCAGGATTGGTCTGACATAAGTCATATACAAGGTCCAGAACGATTCCTTAAACAAGTTTCTAAAGGCAGTTCTTATGTAGGCCAATCTAGCATATGCCGCTGATGATATCCTTTTCATATGGGCATCTGGGGGACAAGTAAGGTGTGATATCAAACCCCAGATCTTTCACTCTGTTTGACTCTTACAGGATTTCACCTCCCAGATTGTGTACTGTGTTCAGCCTTCTGCTTCCTTCACCTTATTTCATTACTTTACACTCTCCTGAGTTGAACTTTAGTAGCCATTTTCTTGACGATTCCTCTTGTTTGTTCAGATCATCCTGTAGTATCTGTCTATCTTCATCTAATTTTATTCTTTTCATAATTTTTACATCATCAGCAAACAAAGAGAGGAATGAGTCTATACCCTCTGGAAGATTGTTTACATATATTAGAAACAGGATGGGTCCAAGTACAGAGCCCTGTTGGACTCCGCTGGTGACATCTCGCCTCGCTGATGTCTCCTCCCTCACAGTTACTCACTGTTTCCTGTTGCTTAGATAAGGCCCCTTATCCACTGGAGCACCTTACCTTTTAGTCCTTGCTTTTTTTCTGGGATATTCCTGTGTGGGCCCTAAGCCTCTGGCTGGCCCACTAAGTGTTGTTTGTTTCTGTTTTACTTGGGCGGAGTATGAGTATTTATGACTCGTATGGTCGCTTCAGCAAGATTTTGCCATATCTGTTTAACAACTTCTTCTGCTCTGTTGAATCTAAGTTGAAATCATAATTGGTTTGTAACTGTGCACTGTGTTAGATAATGATCCAGTGGTCTGTCGGGCATTTCTCCACAGTGTTGACATTTCCTCTCATCTTCTGGAACCTGTAAGCCTATTTCCCATGCACATGGGTATCCAAGCCTGATGCGATGTAAGTGGACTTTTGTTGTTCTACTGCTCCCTTTCATCAAACTAAGTGGTTCGTAGTTGGTTGAATTCTTGTATCAACCTGCAGATCCTGATGTTGTAACTGCTGTGTTGTGGTCATTGTACATACTTTGTAGTTTATTAGCATCATGAGTCCAGATACTCCTTGCTGTTGCTCCAACTTTTGTAACAGCCTATTTTTTTTTTTGGGGGGGGGGGGGGTAACTGCATCAAAGCCTTTCTGACATTTCAAGAAAATACAGTCTGCCCACCCATGTCTTTTTTGCCTAATTTTTGTTGCTTGGTCGAAAAACGAAAAAAAAAAAAATGTCTACTGCAGAGTACGTGAAGGATGAGTCGGGTCAATGCTTTATCCCTGCATCTCAGCGTCCTGACGGAACCTGGAGGAAAGCAAGACGTGTGAAAGATGGTTATGTTCCTCAGGAAGAAATGCCCCTATATGAAAGTAAAGGGAAGCAATGGGCCAAAAATCGACCAGACTACCCAGTAGGTCTTGCCCCAGCTGATGTTGCTACTATGAAAGCTCGTCAGCAAACAGATGATGTAGGCATTCCTGGGTTAACATTACCGACAAAACAAGGTGGCATGTCCAAGTCACAAAAAAAGAAAGCAGCAGCAGCAAAAAAGAAAGCTGCAGCAGCAGACTCGGATATAACGAAAGATTTAGAAAATGTGCACATTTCAAATACAGGAGGGAAGCAGCCATCTGCTTCTGATCCCACAAAACGATTACGCAATCTTAAGAAAAAGTTACGTGATATTGAAAAGTTGGAAAAACAGATTGCTAGTGGTGAACTTAAGAATCCAGAACCTGAACAACTAGAGAAGGTGAAAAAGAAAGATGAGGTAATACAGCAAATTGATGACTTAGAGGATGAACTTGGTGACTCACATTAGTGAAACATAAAACCTAGATTTGCAGACATGAACAGTAATTAATTACCACTAAAAATTATTACAGTACTGATGTAAGTGGGATACTTGGTAATAGGGGTTAAAAAAAAGCTCATCACCTGATTTTTAAACTACTCAAAACACAAAATGGAAAAGTAGCTAGTGTTAGTAAATGATGTTGTTTTATCTCATTAACCCCATAGCTGCATGTTTTGATGGGTCAGTTACCATATAACAAAGCATTCTTCATTAAGACACAATTTCACCATACTACGCAAAATATTTTCTCTTATTATTTGTCCATTTTTACCATGATGGGTACTGTATATACTCATAAGTAAATTTTATTACATTAGAAAACAGTACTATCATGACATGAATTCTGTTATTCAAAATTATATCACTAGTACAGTGTTACACAATTAATTGTTTGAGTTAGGAGAGACATAACTAATGCTCAAGCTAAGCTTTTTCCCATGGAACATTGGAGTTCTGCTTTATAATTGACAATACTTGTCTAAAAATGTTCATACATTATTGAAATCAGCAGAGGCAGCTAGGGGGTTAATTTTTTCTGTGTTTGAAAGTTACTTTTTGTGCATTTAAGAAGATTAAACTAAAGAGCAAGGATGTTTTGATAGGTGTGGCTGAGCAAGTGTAGCATGTTAATTAGTATGGCAGTGATGTAATCATATGCAAAAGATAGCATAATATTTCTATTAAAGTGAATCTGTATCACTTACTTTTTATAGGAAAGTCCAATAGTCTTTTAGCAAGTGGTCAAGAAGTTCATTTTGGAGCTTAGTATTCAAAGAAGAGTCGGACAATATATAGACATCACATACTTTGTATGGTGAAGGGTGCAATTTTAATGAAGACTTTTTTTCTGCAAATGTCATATTGAGTTCACCTTCTGACAAATGCAGTTTGTTAGGCTTTAGACGGATTCTTTGTGTCTACCATTCTGTGTTGCTTAAAATATGTTGAAAATAGAAGTCGGCATTTTTTCTTAAATCCTTTACTATTTTTAATGAAATGGTTACCGGGCATAATTAAAATTCCAACCCATCCTCCTGTTTAGATTATAAGATTTGTAACTATGTGGACCATCATAAATACAGACATAATGACCAATTAGATGGTAGAAATTGGTACTGCTGTATGGAGCCGGTCGGCCGAGCAGACAGCACACGGGACTTGTGATCCTGTGGTCCTGGGTTCGATCCCAGGCGCCGGCGAGAAACATTGGGCAGAGTTTCTTTCACCCTATGCCCCTGTTACCTAGCAGTAAATAGGTACCTGGGTGTTAGTCAGCTGTCATGGGCTGCTTCCTGGGGGTGGAGGCCTGGTCGAAGACCGGGCCGCGGGGACACTAAAGCCCCGAAATCATCTCAAGATAATCTCAAGATAATCTGGTCATAGAATTCTGTTAAAGATGTGTGGCTCTATTTACCATATCTGAATCCATGATGGTAGTTGGTTACAAACCAATTTCCCACCTGATGCTCTACGAGCCTTTTCCTCGCGATCTTCTCCATCACCTTGCATAGTATACTAGTTAGGGAAAGGGGCCTGTAGTTCAGTGCCTCATAACTTTCACCCTTTTTGTATATTTGGACAACATTTGCAGTCTTCCAGCTTTCGGTAGGTCTCCTGTTTCCAGTGACCTGTTATGCTCCACAGAGAGAGGCACACATAGTTTTTCTGCACCTTCTTTTAGTATCCACGGTGAGATTCTATCAGACCCAACGGCCTTTGTCTCATTCAGCTCCAACAGATTCATTTTGACCACATTACTGGTGAGGTAAAATTCCTCCAATTTTGCTTGGTTTGCCTCCCCCTCATTTAGTGCAGGGGCTTCTCCTTGTTCTATTGAGAAGACCTTCTGGAATCTCTTGTTGAGGTCTTCTCACACCTCCTTGTCATTCTCTCTTTATCTGTTGTTCCTTTTTCTCTGTTGCATCACTTGTTCCTTCACTGCTGTTTTTCTCCTGATGTGGCTGTGGAGCAGTTTTGGTTGGGTCTTAGCTTTATTAGCAATGTCATTTTCATACTGTCTCTCTCCTTCTCTCCTCACTCTGAGGTACTCATTTCTGGCCTTCTGGTATTTCTCCCTGCTCTCTGGTGTTCTGTTATTCCTGTAGTTTCTCCATGTTCTTGTACTCAATTGCTTCGCTACCTAACATTCTTGATTGAACCATGAATTCTTCTGTTGCTTTTCATTTTTCTCCTTTTAGGCCGGGATAAACCTGAATGCAGTTTCTGGGTGTGTTTCAGTTTCTGAATGCACTTCTGGGTGACGTAGTCCATCATATGCTGTACAGTCTTTTCTCTGAATTCTATTTCCTATTGTTTTCTAATTAGGAAGTTCCTTATTTCGTCATAGTTTCCTCTTCGGTAATTTAGTCTTTTATCTTCCAATCCCTTCCTTGGACAGGTTATCTCTACCTCCACCAGATACTCAAATGTCAATACACTGTGGTCACTCATTCCTATGGGGGCTTCAAATTTCACTTCTCTTATTTCTGACTCAGTCAAGGTGAATATTCAGGTCGAGTCGAGCTGTTTTGTCATTGACCCTCATTATTGTGTGTACCTTGACATGTTGGCACAGAAAGTTCCTTGTTGCCACTTCCAAGAGTTTAGCTCTCCATGTATCTACACCTCCATGTGGGACCCCATTCTCCCAGTCTATATTTCCATGGTTGAAATCGCCCATGATTAAGAGTCTGGAGCCTTTCTTGCAGGCAACTGAAGGTGCCTGCAAGAATGAAATAGTATCATATTCATATATATATACATTTCATATACATGAAATAGTATCGAAATATTGGTAAAAATGAATATATTTACGTAATATCAAACTACATGAAAAACGTGAAAAAGTCATTATTATGCCAAATTTGAGGATTTTAACTTCGAATCATAAAGCGACGTTTCGTATTTTTAGACCCTAGAAAAAACGTATAAAGATGTTGCTTCCAATACAAATGATAAAAATCAATGTGTTTTCATTAAAATTAACTAAAATTTTCCTGATTTTCGGTATATATTACTGATGGAAGATGTACACGTAAAACCGTTCTAATCCGGCTGAAACATCGATATATGCAATAAAAACAGAACTTCTCCCCTTTTAAATATCTCACTCAGTATTTTAACGAGAAACAAATAGATGATTAAAATGAAGTATTTAAGGTTATTTTCTGATCAATTATGTGTTTGCATAATTTTTCTCGTATATATAATGAAATAATAACAATAAACTGAAAATTCACAAAAACATGGAAAAACGGCAAAACATTGCCTAATTCGATATTTTGTTTAAATCACATAAAGGAAAAGGGGATGATGAAGGTCAAAATATTGCTAAATTCGATGATTTTTAGTACAAAACAAAATGCAAGAAAACTTGCTTAAAAATGCAAAATTTGATAAATTCTCAGATTTGAAGGCCAAATCACATATCGTGAGAAAACAAATAGTAGTATCGAAATATTGGTAAAAACGAATATATATATACGTAAAATCACACTACATGAATAACGTGAAAAAAGTCACTTTATTACCATATTTGAGGATTTTAACTTCAAATAATAGAGCGGGGTTTCGTATTATTTAGATCCAAGAAAAGACATATGACAATGTTGTTTCAAATACAAATGATAAAAATCAATGTGTTTTCATTAGAATTAACTAAAAGGTTCCTGATTTTCCGTTTATATTACCGATGGAAGATATACACGTAAAACCGCTCTAATCCGGCTGAAACGTCGATGTATGCAATAAAAACAGAACTTCTCCCCTTTCCAATATCTTACTCAGTATTTTAACGAGAAACAAATAGATGATTGAAAATGAAGTGTTTAAGGTTAATTTCTAATCAATTATGTGTTTGCATCGTTTTTATCGTATATATATTGAATTAATAGCAATAAACTGAAAATTCACAAAAACGTGGAAAAACAGCAAAATATTGCCTAATTCGATGATATTTTGTTTATATCACATAAAGGAAAAGAGGATGATAAACGTAAAAATATTGCTGAATTCGATGATTTTTAGTACGAAACAAAATGCAAGAAAACTTGCTTAAAATGCAATATTATGCGAAAATCTGAGATATAAAGGGCAAAGCACATATCGTGATACTACATGAAATAGTATCGAAATATTGGTAAAATGAATATATTTACGTAATATCAAACTACATGAAAAACGTGAAAAAAGTCATTATTATACCAAATTTGAGGATTTTAACTTCGAATCATAGAGCGACGTTTCGTATTTTTTAGACCCTAGAAAAGACGTATAAAGATGTTGCTTCCAATACAAATGATAAAAATCAATGTGTTTTCATTAAAATTAACTAAAATGTTCCTGATTTTCGGTTTATATTACCGATGGAAGATGTACACGTAAAACCGTTCTAATCCGGCTGAAACGTCGATATATGCAATAAAAACAGAACTTCTCCCCTTTTCAATATCTTACTCAGTATTTTAACGAGAAACAAATAGATGATTGAAAACGAAGTATATAAGGTTATTTTCTGATCAAATATGTGTTTGCATAATTTTTATCGTACATATAATGAATTAATAACAATAAACTGAAAATTCACAAAAACGTGGAAAAACGGCCTAATTCGATGATATTTTCTTTATATCACATAAAGGAAAAGGGGATGATAAAGGTCAAAATATTGCTAAATTCGATAATTTTTAGTACAAAACAAAATGCAAGAAAACTTGCTTTTAAATGAAAAATTTGCGAAATTCTGAGATTTGAAGACCAAATCACATATCGTGAGAAAACATGAAGTAGTATCGAAATATTGGTAAAAACGAATATATACACGTAAAATCACACTACATGAATAACGTGAAAAAAGTCACTATATTACCATATTTGAGGATTTTAACTTCAAATCATAGAGCGAGGTTTCGTATTATTTAGATCCAAGAAAAGACATATGACAATGTTGTTTCATATACAAATGATAAAAATCAATGTTTTTCATTAGAATTAACTAAAAGGTTCTTGATTTT